AGAAGCAGATGATGCTGCAAAGGCTACAGTTGGAGAAGATGAAGGTTCCTCAAGAGATTTCTGAAAAAGAGCACAGCTTTTAGCTTCAGAAATTACATCACTGAGCAATGGAGTGGGATGTTGGCGAATTTGATGAAGGGAGAAGTGAGAAAAAGCAGGTCCAAGTCCACGAAGGTACCAATGGAGTTTATCGGTGTCAGAGATTGAACACTTGATAGCAGCCAGTTTATGACACAAGCCGGCAAAGAGATTGCTGTAATCTTCCACAGAAGAGGAGCCACGGCGGAGATTCTGAAGGTCATCCTTGAGTTGAATCTCACGAGACTTGGACTAAAGTGAATACACCTTCTCTAAAGCAGACCAAACGGATGCAGCACTGGTAGAACCCAAAGTATGAGCCATGGATTCTTCGGTCAACGAGGAGAGAAGCAAACTATGAAGGCGCTGATCTTGAGTGATCCAGTCTTGTTCCGCCTTAATAGCTTCAGCATCAGAAGAAGATGAAACTGACGGTTTGACTTTGGTGCCATCCAAAAATCCGAATAAGCCTTGGCTCTGGAGAAGGGTCTGTACTTGGGTCTTCCACAAAAGATAATTAGTGGATGACAGTTTAAGAGTTAACATATGAATAAGCGTGGCATAGGGAAGAGAATCTGCCATGGAGGAAAGAAAGTTTTAGAAAGAAAATGCCGTAGGTTAGGGATAACCTAGTCTGATACCATGTGAGAATATCACACCTTGAATTTGGTGTGAGGCCTTGTATTAATATTTATAGTAAAGTCTTTACATTTACAAGGAAAGAAATAAAAGAATAAATATAGATATTTCTATATATACAAATGATATGATACGTAGCTATAATTATGTATTAACTAGCTATAATATTCTTTCCTTAACAATAACGATATCAAATTTATTAAAACTCAACAAACAATTTTAGATGCAAAAGTATTAAGCAATTCGGCATAACCTAGATTTTCAATAAATTCCTTTTCAATTGACAACATATGTAATCCATTCAACTTTTTTTACACATGGTTGATCAAAAAAATGTTTTTATAATCCACCGATCACAGGTTTTGTTTCCTCTCGTAACGTATACTTAAAACAATAAAGAAATTTATATATTTTTTTTTGTACAAATACAAAGAATATAGTTTGATTAATTTTGAACTGAAAATTTCACAATTTTTAATCTTGATCACCTTAAAATAAATAAAAAGATTTCAATTTTCAAATACAAAAGTTTATCATGACACGGCTTTGCTACACTACTTCGTATAACATGCAAGAATCAACTTGCTTTTTTTACTAGACTTACTTTTAATTTTTAAAAAGCATTTGTTTGTGTAAGTGCTTCAAATCCAAGCTGATAATATAAAAATTAGTCACTGGTTATTGCTATTAGAATATATATAAATTAGTTAGTTAGTCCATTCGTCATTCACAAATCAATAACTCATCAGATTAGCATATCAATATAAAAGCTAGATTTTTTTTTAATAAATAACATATAAGCAACTCAGGAGTTCAGGGTTGTATACTTGTATGTCACTACTTGGTTGATAACTCTATTGTTGCACCGGTTTTATTACTTTTGTAGCGGACGATTTAGATCAGATAACAAACGCGTGTAGTCGTGTGTGTGTGTGTGTTTGCGCGCGCGTGCGTGCGTTTAAATTTTGGGGGGCCCTGAGGCCCAAGCCTCATCAGCCTAAAGGAAGGCATAGCCCTGCGTCCCGTTGGAAGGTTTTCGTGGATGAACGACACAATTTTTTAGGTAAGTGATTAATTGAAGTAATAATTTGAGTAAAAAAGAGAGGTCGGAGAAAATTTAGAAAAAGTAAACATATAATGTGAAAATAATCAAAGAGGGATAAGTTGGGGATGATTTTTTTTTAGACTTGACATGTAATAAGAAGTTGGGAGAGGAATGAGAGGTACATCCTGTTCTTGAAGGAAAAACTTCACCTTCCATATGATATGCTCAAATATTTCATTCATGTCTAATTGTTAGGCACGAATAGACTAACAGATGCCTTTCTTTAGTCTATATAAAACCCTCAATTCATCAGGCAAGATCATCTTTTCATACTTGAAGCTTAAATTTCAATTTTTATATTTTATTTTTGCATTCTCTTGAAGAGTTGGAGAAGAAGTCCTCTACAATTGGTTGTAGATAATTTTTCTTGCAAGTTATTGTATTTCCATTATCTTATATATTCTTTTGTAATTAGTATGAGCCCAAAAGGCTAATCTCTTAGCTAAGTTTAGGGATGAACCTTTACCCATAGGTCCCATACTAGGTGTTCCATAAAAGTTCAGAACCAATAAATTGTGACTTCTCCTTTATAATTTAATTGTGTATGACTATGGTGATCACCATGAAAGTATATTAAATTTAGTTTATACTTGCAATGGAAAGATTGAGGATTAAACTATGAACTTGAATGATAAGCATATATAACGAAAATCACGTCCCCGTTGGCTTCCGGTGGATGTATATTCCACTGTCATCATTGGTTAGATGCTTTTGTATGCTAGTAATGGATCTCCAACAACTTCTTCATCAATCATCAATCTGAATGTCTTCTGCATGAATATTGAGGCCGATCGTCCCCTCTTGAACCACTGTCAATCCAAGAAGGTGGGATTGCATGAATTGCTTTCTTTCCGGTGTTAGTGAAACCAGAACAAACTCTGCACTTGACTTCTTACCGGTGACTGACAAAACCGGTAAATTCAATACTTCCTTTTCAATGGCTGGTCAAACGAATCCATTTTGAGTAGCATGAGCAGTCACACTGTGACACTAAACTATATTTTTTGCAGTGTTAGTGAACATGAACGCCTTTATGTATTTTGTTGTTCTTTGTCTTACCCTGGTGTAGCTTTGAACACTATTATTGTAATGCTTTGGTCTTTGATTGTTATGTTTCTTGATACCCTTATCAATAATAATTAATTTATTTGTTTTCAAAAGAAGTGTTAACGATGCACTTTAGGGAATAAAGTGAGATCAGTATATTGTGCACAGTGTAACGATCTCACAACATATTTTGTTTCCTTAATGAGTTTGCACGCCGCTAATAGGTGTCACAACCATGTGCTTTGATATGCGATTATGTCAATCTTATTATTTTGAAAATATTTTTTTACTATAAATATGTTAAATATTGATTACAGAGTCAGTAAATGGAATTTTATTATTGATTACATTGTAGTCTGATAACATCATTGTGGCACTTTCAATGAAAAAATCACATGTTCGAATATCATCCCAGTTTAAGGATGTTGGTCTAAATATTCATAGAACATATATTATAATAGCTTAGGAAGCTCAACAAAAAAACAGAACTTATCAGTGTAGTACTTGAAAGATAGATAACTTGTCAATTCGGGACATGAAAGATGAAATGTGTCGGTATAGGATCTTAATGATTAAAAACTATGGGAGTATCAATCTAGGACCTAAAATTTTATGGGTTTTGATTTATTTAATTTTTATTAATTTCATTGCTAGTTTTTTAATGAATTTTTCTTCACGCAAATTTATTAAATTAATAAAATTAAATAATACTCCCTCCGTCCCTAAAACAACTTCCCACTCACTATTCATTGGTCAACTTGAATCACTCGTAATCTTTTACTCCCTCCGTCCCGCTAAGATTGTCTCATTTTACCTTTTCGGGAAGTCCCACTAAGATTGTCCCATACCAAATTTGGTAAAGTTTGTGTGGCTCTAAATCATTCTTACTTTATTTTTACTTTTTTAATTCAATATCAACCACATAAGCTCACTTTTCTTAATAATCGTGTCACCTTCTTCCGTCCCAATGTTAGTGGGACGGAGGTAGTACTTTTTATATCAAATTTTTATCAAATTTAAATTTTATTGATCAGGCTTTGTAGCGGTTTTAATGCAGTTTCTGAATATGTAAATTTTATTTACTAAAAATAATCCGAGTGTGAGCAGGGATCGAGTTGCTTTATCGTCAGTCAAGCATCGTAAACCGAACGAGAAGTTAATTTTGGGACGGAGGGAGTATTTTATTTTTTTATGTAAAAAACATTAAACTTCAGCAGAAATTAGGTCATAGATTGATAGTTTCTAATCAATCGGGCCCTAGACCAGTATATTTTATCTTTAAGATTTTGAATTAATATCTCTTTCATACTTGAGGTCATAGATTGATAGTTTCTAATCAATCGGGCCCTAGACCAATATATTTTATCTTTAAGATTTTGAATTAATATCTCTTTCTAATCAATGCCCTTATTATATTGATTGAACTAGATTTTTCATATTTGACCCATTTAATTTGATCTTGTATTTAAATAGTATTGTGGTTTATTAATCATGTTATAGCTATTAAACACAAAATTATTAATTTTTGAGTTATTATATAAGTTTATGACAAAAATAAAAGAGTATATGAGCCAAAAATAATCTTACACTTCATCCAGAATTGAATTGTAATTTGTGAATTTTAAAATTGAGTAATGATAATGTTAAATATAAATATTCCATACAAATAGTTACATCGAGTTTAATACGAAGTAAGAATAATCCATGTATTCGTAAACTACATTGAAGGTTCTATACAATCTCAAAACTCAAATTAGAATATAATAGCTGATTTGGTAAAATGAACTTGGTGAAATTCTGATTAAAGCTGCTAAATTAACTATTGATTTATGAAAAAATTTAAATTTAATTTATTAATAAAATAAAGAAAAAATCTATATGAAAAATCAGTTAAAATGATTTTATACGATAGCTTCAGCCAATTCAATAAAAAAAGTAATTTCAACCCTATTTATTGTTATTATTACACAATTTATTACTACGTACGTGCAATCAAACATGACGCGTTTGATAAAAAAATTGATTGATAAAATTAATAAAATAAAAATGAGATTATCTAAGAGGTCTTCAATAACAAATTGATATGATGAATAAATAAATAAATAACAATAACAAGAGTAGTTCATGGGTCACAACTCACAACTCAATCAAGATATGACTGTGGGATTGGTGGAGTTTAACCAAAAGCAAAAACACTTTGGAAACAAGAAGCGCTCTTGGGTTGGGACACAGCCACAATGTGGCAAAGACTTTCGAGTTGTTCACACCTGAAAATCTGATGCGTGTGTGTATGTATATAGCAAACCAACAAACAACCTCTGCGCTGCGCTTCAAAATCCCAACCCTCAATCTCTCTCCAATGCCCATTGGCATTCAAAACCTCAAAGATAGAACACATCATCACAAGTAGAAGAAACGGACGCCGCGCAGTGAAGTGGAGCGCTGTCCTCACTTCCGCCGGTCTCATCGCCTCTGATTATCAGTCAGTCTCCTTCCTCCTTTTTTTTGCAATCTTTATCTCTCCGGGGAATGATCTCAGCTCTGTTCGATTCTTTCTTCCTCGTTTTTTTTGTTTTTACTCCGCTTTTGTTCTTTTCTCTTTTGACTGGAAAAGGAAAGGGCGGTTGTACGATGAATTCATTGATGTCATCTTCCTTATCGTTTAGTCTTAGATCTTTTAGTATTTGGGTTTTGAACTAGGCACGACATCTCGTATGCATCGAAATGCATTCCCATATGTTAGCGCATTTATTTTGTATTTCTTCTTTTTGAGAAACAGCTATTTGGTTATGTTTTTTGTTGTTTGGGTTTTTCTTGCTGAGCTTTTATTTGGCAATCCTCTCCCTTTGATTGGGCTCTTTGTTCGTTTTTGTCAATATGTACTTTGAAATTGGGTTCTGTTAGTCGGATACCTTTTACCTTTAACCTCGTAATAGCATCTTTCTGACTTCATGTCCTCACTGCTCCCTGGATTTTATTTATCTTTGAAATAGAATGTCATGCTCTGTGGTTTTCATTTTGGGTCCTTAATTTATTGTCGTCAGCAGATCCAAAAAGTACGTATTTTTCTTCAGATTTTGCTTGTTTTCCATATCTTGGAATTTCGGTCTTCGAATTTTTATTTATGCTTAGCTGATTTATAGGAATTGATGGATCATTTTGATCTTTCTTGTTGTGGACACATCTGTTGGGTTCCCCCCCCCCCCCCGTTTTTGCAGTTTCTATGATTTATAATTTATAATTAATTATCCTTTTTGCTTTAATATGACCAATTATTATTCAGAGTCTTTTTGTCATCTTTCTTGCAGAAGTAATTCTATAATATTATTTAAGAACATTAGCATTGAAGAGCTTCTCCAGGGATGAATTTGCCCAGAACTAGAGTACAACCAAGGACTAATAGATCTGTGTCTTTAGGAGGTGAGATTTCTATTCTATATGTAGGTCTTTGTGTTTCTTTATTTACATCCTGCTTAAATAACTGAAATCCAATCTATTGCTTACAGTGACCATCGTGTTTTCAAATTGTACAAACTCAGAAAGTTTCTTCTTAAAGCTTTTTAGTGGTGATAGTAGATGATAAGAGATTGTTTTTCTCCATTCAGGACTAAGTTGTTTTAGTTGCTGTTTATAGGTATGGATTATGTAGAACCAAAGAAACGAAGCAACTTTTTGGGGAAAATTTTCATGGCTGCTGTCATGACAGCATTGTGTATCCTCATGCTCAAGCAGTCACCTACTTTCAATCCCTCAAGCCCTGTAATTCTTTTATTCATCTTACAACAACTTATTTCATTGTTGATCATTAGCTTCTTTGATACTCAATCAGAGGTCCATTGATTTTTCCTTTACTGCATACTTTTGTTGCTAATTTGTCTAGTCCTTATCTGGAATTTCTTAAACAGTTTTCCAATTTGTTACCAAACAATAATGTGTGATCAAATGAATACTTCTTTTGCCTCCATACTAGTTCAGCTTTGCCAATTGCTCATTCTAAGACCTCTGCATCAGTGATAAAGAACACGCCTTTAGACTGAATGGATGAAAATCTACAAATCTGACCTGTTTATATTTTATTTGATTTTTTTATTATACTTCAGATGATCCTTTTTAGTTTTACATAATATACTCATGTTTAGATTCCACCTATTACTTTCGAGTCACAGTAGGTCTCCTATAAGATAGTATCAAGGCAAGACATATTTGAGAGGGAGATTTTTTTTGTCAAAGGTGATAATTTAAATACATTTAAACTTGAATTTTATATTGAGATATAACGATTTTTTGACCAAAAAATATAACTCTTACTGTGAGACTCTCACCCACATTTTTTGTGTTGGAATTGAAGTCTTCATGGGATCTATTAGAATGCCTTTGTTGAAGCATTATCATGCATATAAACCATTTTTTATTTCCAGTGTCTTGCCAGTGCATAAGTACCTTCTTCTGCAAAATGCTTCGGCATGTAAACTATTAAACCAACATGCTGTTACGGACCTAGACCATACTAAGCCCATACCAAGGCCATAAACTCACTCCCAATTAGGAGGGGGCACCTAGCTTATAAGGCATCGATCAATTCCATACTTGATCGGTGTGGGATCATTACAATACCCCACGCTTCAAAGAGCCAACGTCCTCGTTGGTCACGGCTATGTTGGTAAGGGTTTGCACCTCCAGGGCCCAAGCCACAACTCCATAGGCCACCACTCTCAATGTGGAGACACGGAAGATGAGGATGGCTCTGATATCAATGAAGTGCCTGTCGGTTACACCGAGCGCACAAAAATACTTATTTTCCATAAGATTTATGATTTTATTCATTAATATGGCACCTCTATTTATACTAGTCCCAAGAGTCTTGGTGGCGTAGTTTTAGAGTAACCCTAATTCTATTACAGTACTTTTATTAGGAAGTCAAGTAAAATAGAATATCTCTATTAATAGGAAACTGCAACTAGTAATAACCTTAGGAAACTAATACCGAATACTTAAGGAAACTTACTTTAGGAAACTAATAATAATAATAATGAATGATGATGATGATAGTAATAATTTGCTTCTTCTTTCCTTTCCATATCACGAAACTGTAGTGGAAACTTCATGCATATAGTTCAGGTCATTGTTGCTGTAGGAATGCCTCACAAGTCACAATTTGAATTCGTTTTGACTGAAAACTGTCTATACAAAAACAAACTTGTCAAAATATTTTTAATCTCACGTGTTTAAAAAGCAGTATACAAGGAGTTGTACATATAGCTACAACTAGAGTTGACTATAGTACTATACAATATACATATAATAATGTGCTAAAGTCAATAACTCAATACTACTACTAGGGTTAGGGTAACATGCAAAATCAATGCCTATAGTTTTTTAGTGTACCAGCATATGGTTTAGCTCTTTTTGTCAAACTCTCTTGGAAAAGAATTAATAGAGTCTAGAGATACCTAGAACAATATTTCCATGGGGCATTCTGATTAGAAGGTTAAAAAATACGTTAACAAGTAAAACTTTTTGCAACAAGATAAATTTTGGATATTTCTCTAAATGTGGTGTTTTTCTGAATGACTTCCACTGTGAATAGCTGAAATGTCCACTTTAGATCACCCAAGGATGAATACTAGGATAACTAGCCATTTAAATATGTTTTAGTTTAAACATTAACATGCAAATGCATGTAATTGAGCTTCTTGATAACTATGCTTCTCTGGAGTTTGGAGTTTGGGCTCAATTCTAAAATGTGTACTTATTATTAATAAATGCATCGGTTTATAACTTTAAACTGACTTTTCATTTTGTTTCTGCATGTTTCTTAGTTTGCGTGTCACGAACCAGGTGTTACTCATGTCTTAGTTACTGGAGGCGCTGGGTATATTGGTTCCCATGCTGCATTACGGCTTCTAAAGGATTCTTATCGTGTGACTATTGTGGTAATAGGTCTAAAATGCTTAATTTAATAGAGTAGGTCTTGTATTAACTATTCACACAGTACATCTGTCCTGAACATGTTAAGGTACATGATCATCTCATTTGACAGGATAACCTTTCACGGGGAAACCTAGGTGCTATAAAGATCTTGCAAGAACTATTTCCAGAGCAAGGAAGGCTTCAGTTTATATTGGCTGATCTCGGTGACGCAAAAATGGTAACTACTAAATCCATGATTTTCTGGCACCTGGATATTTTTTTAGGATAGTACATATGTAGGGAAATGGTGACCGGAGGAGATATTTGAGGATTCATTCCAATTTATCCAAATTTTATTCGAAATTTACCCCCGAGACCCGAGTAAGTAAGTGAGGTTGAGATATTTGAGGATAAATTCCATTCCCTGAACTCTTCTATAACCTCTCCCTACCCGTATCATTGTATGACGTTTGGATTTATGTTATTAACTTTATTAACTTTATACCTAAACCAATGGTATTCAGGTTCAGAAGATATTTTCCGAAAATGCTTTTGATGCAGTGATGCATTTTGCAGCTGTAGCATATGTTGGAGAGAGCACGCTTCATCCTCTAAGGTAAATGTCCGGTTTTATACAAAAACAAACATTTTCCCAACATTATATTGTTGTCTATGTTTTGCTCAGAAAACTAGGAAGTTGAATTTCACCTGTCCAAACATTTTTCATTAACTCTAATGGCCTGAATAAGACGACTGATGGGGTAGTTCTTCCCACTTGTTCTAAACCAGGTATTACCACAACATTACATCCAATACCCTTGTTGTATTAGAGGCAATGGCAGCGCACAAAGTCCCGACTTTTATTTATTCAAGCACATGTGCAACCTATGGAGAGCCGGAAATTATGCCTATAACTGAAGAAACTCCACAGGTAAATGTAGTTTATTTACTAATACATGCAAGCGTATTGTGATGGCTATTGCAAACCATCAACCCCTTTTAGAATGTACATGTGAGTATATAAGTAACTGACCGTCTCCTAATATTTCATGTGATAGCTTCCAATCAATCCATATGGGAAAGCCAAGAAGATGGCCGAGGATATCATTCTTGATTTCCACAAGAACTCAAATATGGCTGTCATGATTTTGAGGTGTGTACTATCAGTTTTTTCTAAATATTTGTACTTATTGCGCCTTTTTACTTTGGGGAATTTTGACTTTGCACCTCACTTTGGATGATATTGGACTTTGCACCCCATCTAAAAAAAACTTTGACTTTGCACCCCATTCAAAAAAAATTGGTCACAAAATGTTCTATCAGGTGCAAAGTGGGGTAGGTGTTCAACCCTGTGATAACTAGATTTGTTCAAATGTATTACTACATACTGCGTTTCATCTTTGAGTGTCTTTTTTACTATTACAATTTTTCTACTAAAATGTTCAAAATTGTCAAAAAAAATACGTATGTTTTCCAATCTTTAAACTTTACCTTACTCTGTAGTGTAAGGTGTTAGAGACTGTAGAACCGAAATTTTTTTTGGTCTGTTTCTGAAAAGCCGCGAGTTTCCGTACAGTTTTGGGCCGTACAATTTTTTTGGGGCCGCGCGTCCTAGTTGCTTTGGGGTTAGGTTTCACTCTCTATAAATACAAGCTCTCTCCCTTGTAATCAGTTGATCCGAAATTAATAGCAATTCCTGGCTTGGTAGCGCCCCCATACGTAGTCCTTTGTGGCGAACCTGGTTACCAAATTTCATGTGTTCTTTATTATTGGTCTTCGTATTGCGTTAATTAATTCTTAACATGTGGATCGTAACAGGGATACCTCTCTTAGTGGTAGATATAAGGTTTGCGTGCAAGACCCTACTTTCAAGTGGGACTTGTTTGTTTTACTTTTACTATTCCCTATCCTAAAAATGAGTCATGAATTGCTGACTAAATCAGTAATACAAACAAGTTCCTTTTTTTTGGACATATTGAGTAGTTAGGTATCCTACTATATCCATTATATCGCTGTCTTACCAACCATGAAGTGTTTTTTCGTGTTTCATGTTAAATCCCTAGGGTAGTGGTGTTTTTGAACTATTTCTTGAAATTGTTTGTTTATATTATCATCTCATAAATTGGATCATTATCTTAGATTTATTGTCATTCCCTCCAAGGAGACGGGGATCTTTGCATTTCTTCCGAAGCAATGAAATTCCAACACCCCAAACTAAACATTAACATTTATAATTTTCGCAACAAATTCAGATACTTCAATGTGATTGGTTCTGACCCAGAGGGAAGATTGGGAGAAGCCCCGCGCCCAGAGCTTCGTGAACATGGGCGGATATCGGGCGCTTGTTTTGATGCTGCTCGTGGAATCATCCCTGGTCTAAAGGTCAGATGTGACACACTTTTTCTTCTTTTTGCATTCGAGTTTTGATATTTCAATTTACTTAATGGCTTCCTCGTATTTATAAAAAACCACCATGTATGCAGGTTAGAGGAACAGATTATAAGACAGGTGACGGGACATGCATAAGGGATTACATTGATGTAACTGATCTGGTTGATGCTCATGTAAAAGCTCTGGAGAAAGCAACCCCTGGGAAAGTTGGGATCTATAACGTGGGGACTGGAATGGGGAAATCAGTGAAGGAGTTTGTGGAGGCTTGCAAGAAAGCAACTGGAGTGCCCATTAAGGTCGACTACCTTCCCCGTCGTCCTGGTGATTATGCACAAGTGTACAGCGACCCGACCAAAATCAGGAAGGAGTTGAACTGGACAGCCAAACATACTGATCTTCAAGAGAGTCTGCAGATGGCTTGGAGATGGCAGAAGTCTCATCTTAACGGCTATGGCTCATCCTCTCAGCCAATGTCAGCTCCCTCCTGATGATGCCGCCACATTCATCAACTGTGATGATGAGAGAGACAGTTACAGGACCACCTTCCCCTCCCGCCCACATACACATACACAAAACAGGCTTATCCCCCCCAGTACTATAGTGTTTATCTAGAGGTAGATGATTTATGAGGCAGGTCATGGAGGGGTCTGACTTTTTTATATTTTTTATTATTTTTTCCTTCCACGGCTAGATTGATCATATAGCCAGTGTATGCCGCCCAGAAGCTTATTTATGCACTTTATGTATGTATGTATTTAATAATAAGGTGAGCTCGGTCTGGTTCTTTGCCTTGCCCTCTTATCTGTCTTATTAATTTCAAGTTATTCTTAGGAGTAGACCCGGTTTGGTTCCCATTGGGTCTTGATTCTCGGTTCAAGGGGTTTGTACCTGTCTGTAACTTAAGACTGGAAATATTGCGTTTGTCTAGTTCCAAACTGATTTTGGTTCTAGCCCGGTTCTGTGTGGTCTTCGAAAAAAATAGAATCAGGCATATTCCGGAAAACTGAAGATGTATGTAGTATGGACTGGTGCTAGAATTGAAAACGGGCCATCACTCCTATCAGTCCAGTCTTTTAGCATGCAAGTCCAGCCCCAGTTATTCGTATATATAATTATATACTCCGTACATAAAAAAACATACTTTTTTTAGAATAAAAACATAGTACCAAACGGACTGGTTTTATGTACATACTAAATGTGTACTTTGAAAGAAAGGGGATTCAAAGGTAGGAACCGTAATTACTACTCCCTTCGTCACATAGAAAGGTTCACACTTTTTTTGGATGTCCCGTATAAAGGTTCTCATTTCTATTTTAAGAAATGTTTACAATTTTAAATGATACACTTATAACATCATATTTATCAACACTGATCCCATTATATTATATACTTATCAAATTATTTTTTCTCAAATAATTATAATGATTACCTTACTTAATTATTGTCTAAATAATCATTGTTTTGCATGAGAATTGAGAACCATTCAAGAACGGCATGGAGATAGCACTACGTAACTAGTTATACCAGACTGGGTTGGGTAGAATTGGCGGCTTGGCGCTAGGTATGGATACAGTCCCAGTCTTGGACTCTAGTTCTAAAAAATCATTGAGTCTCAGGACTGGGACTTTTTCAATTTCGGGACAGCTCTGGCCTCCAGGCCAGTCTCGATGGTTCTAAACTGTAATGACAAAAAAATTATATGCGAAGGGGACCGAGACCGACCAGCCAGTCATCGTTCCAAAGAATAAACCTGAGAGCGAGACCCCTTTCCCTGCAGGTCCAAGTCGCGTCCTGGCGTCCTGGACTGAAACCTTAATTATCTGCCTCGGTCCTGGTTCCAGTTTAAAAACCGACCAGTCCTTACTCCCAAGACCTTGTCGACCCCTATTTTTTCTCCATATTATTTACCCATTGTGGTATAAAAAATTAAGGGGGTTCAAAAAAAAAAGCTGGCCATCATTGCTGATTTTTTCCCAGACAAATGAATATTACATTAGTGAGAATCGGTCAAAACCGTGTGAAATGATCAGATATTCAGATGCTCATTCATTTCAGTATATGTGTTAAACCCATGGTGCATACTGGAGGCATGTCAAGCCTGTACAGAAAGCTATTGATTTAATATCTGATGTGTTTGAAACATCAACAACTAAATTGTACAGCTAATTTAAGTTCCTTGGAGCTGCAGTTTGAATGTCATCTCCATATCTTCTCACAATAACTACAGATTATAGTAGCTCAACCTGTCAATGGAGATCATCTTATTTCAGTACAAAGACATTGCTAAAAAAACTATCATTCAGCACCACAAACACAACACGTTTGACCTCATTCCTCATGTTTTTGATCATGTACACATGTGTTTGGAACTCGGAAAGTGACAGAAATAAAATAGGGGGGAAAATTGGGAGGGAAAAATTATATTGATGAAAATAAGTCATTGGTTCAAACTAAATGAATTGAAGTTTATTATCTGTTTGAACTTTTCTTAAATTTATTTCTATAATATTAAATATCAGGAAAGCTAAACATATATAATATCACTTCATCTCTAGTAATATCTCCGCTAAATCACATGGGCACATCTAGGAGTTAGCAGGCAGTTTTTCCTAACTTGGAATCTTCTCTTTTTCCCTGTGAGACGTCTAGGCAATGTCGGGGCTAATTTGGCAAAAAAGACTGAAGTTTGATGTTCACTTTCAATCATTCCCATTGGTTGGAGATCCATCCCTTTTATGCTTTCTGATTACACTATTACCCTCCATTCTCTAAGGATCTGGACGATGTTGATTTTGTGTACTACTTTGGAATTACCATCTGATTCAGGTGGTGCCACAAGTCATGCGACAATTTCACACCTATTTCTCACATATATGTACACACACGTATATGTGATATCATTATGTATATATACAATACTACTTTAATTTAATTATCATGTATTTAAGTATCTGGTTTGACCATTGGCCTTGCCTGTTAGACCATAGGACCCGAGCTCACAGTTTCGGTCCTACGTCCTGAATGATTTTCTAACATTTCTTGCAATTAAATATTTTGAGGCAGATTATGAGCACCCTAAGAGCATTTTAATAAGCTAGACTTACCACAGCATCAATGTGAACACCATTCATAGTTCGGACTTGATGAGCAGCTCTTCAACTGAGGTTTTGTACTTGGAAATCAGTTCCCTGAAATTAAATAGGAAAGTGTGCCCGTCAGAAAAAGTCCCAACAGAAATGGCTTTCTCTTAGACCTTAAGGATAGTGAATAATTGAACTATAGAATAGAATGTACACACTTTCGCTGATTTGACAACTCTTCAGCTTCAGCCAGTTTCTGCCTTTGTCCCTCAACTGTCTGCTAAAAACTCAAATAGAATTAGAATATCCACAAGCTTTTCTGTCTTAAAATTATGAGAGAACTATAATAGCACTACTTAACGAAATGTTGATCTCCATAAAGCTCCGCAACATTTGAATTAGAGACACAGTATCATACTGTTACTATCTTTGTCAGAAGAGGCGACGACAACAATACCGGTTATCATTGGTAGTCAAGTCCAGTAGCACCCGCCATTACAACACCAGAGAGTAGCACCAGTCGTCTGAGGTGACACAAGTGGAGGGTGCTATTGCTAATACTCCTATTGTTACTACCATCGCTTGTGCAGTAGTAACATAAACTGCTACTGTCATCAATATTATTATAAATAACATTGAACCATAGTTGTCATGGCGCATGGCGATCGCCATGGCTCAAGGGCATTTTTCAAGGCGCATATACGGATGACACATATATGATGGTGACGACCATTTTTTATGGCGATGGCACGTATGGCGCGCACCATATCTCACCATTGACTACTATGCATTGAACATGAAGTTTTAGTATGTAAAATTTGATCTTATATAATTCTCCCTAAATAATGACTTTAACCTGAAATTTCCAAAAACTTTGCAATGGAGTGAGTAGCATCTAACAGCAATATCCCAACAGAAAAAAAAAAATCAATGACAAAGTGAGTGCTTGGCAATGATTCTCGTTCTGCTTCTTAAAATCAGAAATAGAACTAGAAAGTGATTTTTTAGTGTTCAATATTGCTTCTCCATTATGTTGCACAGGATCACTTCAGAGCCTGGATGATTTCTTGTTTGAAACTGATTCTAGAATAGAATGCCCAAATCAGTATATTAAAGTGATATTTATTGATGTTTATGTTTGTACATAGATAATTATATTTATATTGATATCTATACTTATATTTATATGTATACTTAATAGAGGTTGTTTTGTCCATTAATCTTCAGGAATCAGAATCAGTTTTTGATACGCTGGTCTCATGGCATTGATTCTCATTCTGCTTCTTAAAATCAGAAACAGAATTGGCAAGTGAGTTTTTAGTGTTCAATATTGCTTATCCATTATGTTGCATAGGATCACTTCAGAGCCTGGATGATTTCTTGTTTGAAACTGATTCTAGAATAGAATGACCAAATCAGTATATAAAGTGAAATTTATTGATGTTTATGTTTGTTCGTAGATATTTATTGATATCTATACTTTTATATTGATATCTATACTTATGATAGTATATGTATACTTAATAGAGGTTGTTTTGTAGATTAACCTTCAAGAATCAGGATCAGTTTTTGATACGATGATCTCATGGTTTCTCAAAAACTGATATTGCTCCACAATTAAGGGGAAAATTATGGAGCTTTACACTAACACCACAAAATCTGGTTCTGCTTCGAAGTGTAAAAGAGCAGAATCCATTTAAAAAGTTAGATCCATACACACCGAAGGCAGAATATTTTCCACTTCTTTCTGTGGGATATTGAAGGTCTGTGGTTGCTACTTGCTATTTTCTAGAGACAAATTCCCAAAACTATCATATATCATTACCATGGACTTCGAGCTGATTGAAGCTGATATTGAGTTGAGCAGCTGTTGGCACTTGTCAAATTGGTTTTTCAATTCATTAACCTTGTATCAGACAGCAAGAAAACAGTTAAGCGGTAGCTTGTGAAGTGTGAGAACCATTGATATGCCAATACGGCAATGCCATCACCTCTCTTTTTTAAGCACAAAAGAAAACTAAGAATAAACGAAACAAGAATAACCAGGGCATCTGAATGCTGATCGCGAGTCCCATTCTCGATTACATCCGCTAAATTCTCCACCAGCTACACAATCAAGTTTTCGAATCAAAACACAATCAAACAGGCTGGCATACAAATCGATGTCTTCCATGTCAAACCTGTATGAGATGAAAGTGAGACGCGAGTGACTGCTGCGGAGCCGGAGGCGGCGGCGTATGCGTCTGCATCTGCTGCTGCTGCTGATACAGCTGCTGTTGCTGCTGATTGAACTGCTGCTGTTGTTGTTGCTGCTGCTGCTGTTGGAGAAAGAGATGGTCTTGGTTAGAGGGTGTAGAGGGGTTACTGGTAGTCTGGATGTTGGGGATCATCGTCCAGCTCCCCCCTCCATATCCGTCCATGTTTAGCACCGTTTTGATTTGCAGGGAGAAAAAAATCTGAAATAAGGTTCTGCCCTGTATAGGTTGAAAACTTAAAATCAAGTGAAAATCAACTCCACTCAACTGAAAGTACTACGGAGTACACTCATTTTTTTTTTTTTTGAAAAAATTTAATCAATTAATGAATGATTTCTACTGTCCCATTTTATGTGTCTTAGTTTGACTTGGCACAATTATTAATGATGTGGTTGAAAAAGTAAAAGTTGTGGTTGAGGTTTGAGTATAATAAAGTGAAATGGTGTGAACCATATATATATATTTCT